CTAGGGCCCTCCACGACTTCGGGGTTCATTCTCGTGTTGCTGCTGTAAAACCTTTTTTAACAGAAGACAATATAAACGAACGTATAGATTGGTGCGAAAAAATAAGAACAGAAGCATTTATGAGTGGCAGAATATCATTTTTTCTGATGAAATGAGTGTGGAAGTTGGCAAACAATCACGCCAGGTTCGAGTATAGCATTATGCAGATAAACGGTATAAACACGAGTGTTTGGTTCTGAGTTTTAAGAGTGGAAGGGTTTCAATGATGGTGTGATCATACTTCACTGATGAAATCAAAGGTCCCATGGTTTTTTTGATGAATACAAAGCTTCCAAACAAAAAATTAGTAAAAAAATTTACACCAAGGTTCTAGACGATCACCTCATACCGTTTGTTGCGGCTGTGCGTTTGTTAACTGGGTTGAATCCAATTTTTCAGCAGGAAAATGCCCTATTCATAAGGTACAAATTGGCTTGAAGCAAAAAAAATCAAATATATGAAGTGGCCATCCTGATTCCCAGATCTAAATCTGATAAAAAACATCTGGAAGATTGTAAAAGACAATATTCAGAGTCGCGAAGACTTTCCAAGAGATGCAGACCAGCTTAAAATAGCCTTGAAGGAGGAGTGGGCGAGGGTAGATAAGTTGGTGTTTCGGGTGGTTGTGGACTCAGTGCCACAAAGAATCGAGGAAGTGGCTGCTGCAGAGGGTCGTTCATGAAGATATTAAATAAAAAAAAAAAAATTTAATATTTTGTAATGAAAAAATAAAATAAATAAAAATTTTATTTTTACCTTATAAATCGGGTGTTACTTTTGATGGCTACTGTACAAACATTTATATAAATAATAAAGATAATAAAATATTAGTTATCCTAATTATTACCTTATAAGTAAATGACATATAAGCATCAATGATTTTTTTTACCTAAATAAACGATATAACTCTCGGAGCTTATACATCAAAGTTGGTATCAGTAAAAGTCTTCTTGAGTAATATTGCTGCTGCTATCGCATGCTTGAGAGACAAAAAGAATAAGATCAAATCACAGCATAGATCATTTATGCATATTTTTTTGATTAATACCGCGTCAGCTAATTTTTAACGATTTCACAAGTTTTTGGGACCGTCGAATATGAGATCAGTTGATGTTGAAACAGAACCATTTTATAAGAAATCTTGAAATTTTTTGGGAGTTTTTTTTTTTTTAGAATCAGATCAAGAATTAGAGATAGAATCATTAAAAGAGAATTGCCGCAAATTCTAGTGGATTAGTAAATTTAAATAGAAACATCAAACCTCAGTATTAGCTGCGATAATCAGAATAAAATAAGTTAATCGATTTTTTAAAAAAAATAGCACACAGATTATAGTGTTGCCGGTATATCTAATGCAAGCCATTTAACCGTGTCACGTTATTGGCTTAGCGCATTATCATCTTCGCTATCACCATACACGGTCTCGCTATAATCTTTGATGATCATTGATTATCAATCCATCAAACCGGCAAAAATCAGGAAAAAAAAAATCAAAAATATTGAAAATATAGAAATAAGTACATATCAACCTTAGCAGAAATTAGCATAAAACGTAAACGGAACCTTTTTTTACCTATCGTTATAATATCGACTCTGTGATCACAGATCTTGCAATTGCAAATTTGCAATTAGAAAATATATGCGGATTGTTTTTCGGTAATATAGTGGCCATGGCTAGTAGCCATAGCTACGGCAATGGCCATGGCCATGGCCACTAGCATATAGATATAAAAATGACGGACGAGAATTTCCTTTATTAGGAATGAAAATTTACTTTCTTGGAATTGCGAGGAAATTTTTTTCGTCGATCAATGCATTGCTCGCAACACAAGCTATAGAATATAAGACACATACGGTAAGCACCATAGTGTAATACGTCCACTTATAGAAATAATCACCCGCCCAAAATTAAATAGTGTTAATAACAAGTAAACTTGTTTGACACAAGAATACAGCGCCAAAAAAAAAAAAAAAAAAAAAAAAGATCAAATCGGAACAAATAAGAATAATCTATAAGTTTCTAGAATATATTCAAGAACTAAAACTAAATGTTCAAACAACACCTTTAATCAATCTTTGAGAAAAAAAATATATATTTAATATTACAGTATTAACATGTGAAACATCTTTATTTTACTTCGATAGCGATTAACAGATAGTATAAAAGAACCTTTTTGTAAAAGGGTAAAAAAAACAAAAAACTACCTTTTTGTCACCACGATAAAAAAAATGCCAAGCATGTTACCACAATTTGCTATATAACTGATCATCAAGAAAAAACTATGAGTAGTGATCTTATTGTAGTAAAAGCAGCAGGAGTGACACATCTCAGGAACAATGATGCTAATTTATCTATTCTTTTGGTGGCTTTCTATTCTGCAGACAAATCTAATGACTGTCTAGCGTCTTTTCAACAGAAGATGTTTTGTTGGTACCTGGAAAATTTCGAATTGTTGAAGATCTTGATGATAATGGAAAATCTTATCCTATCTTGAAGGTAAAATTAAAAATCGCGTTTTTGTTGATTAATGCTAAAAGTTTTATTTTTTAAAAAAAAAATCAAACATGCACAATTCTATTCACCCTTCATTTATTATAATATATATATATATGATAAATTCTATTAGATTATATTATCAGATATAGTTCATCTTGACATTAATCTAGTTGATTTACCAAAGTCTTCTCTCTTATTAAATATGATGCCCGTTACTAAAGAAGCTCCTGTTATTAGTGAAAATTGTGTTACTGTTACTCTGACCATTGAAACAAAAGATTTTATAGACCAAGACAATATGAATCAAGAATTCGAATGTCACCATTTGGTATCCGCTTAATATCTCGCCCGGGTATCTTTAATCGTGAAAAAAGGTTCTATTCTTTATATAAGTAGAGAAGATCTCTATTAAATAGATTATAAATTTTATTTGTATCATGTGCATCTTAAATTATTAAAATAAAAGCATTTCAATTTCTGATATAGTCAAATTGTGCGCAAGAAAAATAAAAATAAATATATTTAGAACGTATCTACACTTAAAAAATACTAACGCTAAAATCCATTATATTAACTATACCCACGCAATGCGATATGTATAGAAAAGTAAGTCAACCAAAATGATCCCAATACGTTAGTCGTAATCAGTCTCATACTATTGACTATGTGATATGTATAGATTATAAAAAATGATAATTTTAATTTATTGTATGATTAAATGTATTTTTTGTTACATTTTTCATATTGAACCTTTATCTTTGAGTCAATAACATATTGTGGCTATGAAACAAGTGCCTACTTGAGCCTGTAGATAAGTTTTTGTAAACTTATACTCAAAGACAAGTGATATTGTCAAACTGCGTACACAAAATGGCGATTGTCTAACCTCTTCATGAAATACCAAAAATCGTGTAGTCATATAAATTAATACCATTATACACCTTTATGTGAGAATTAGGTTGATATTTTTTTTTATAAGATACTAACCAGATTTTTCACCTTTATGATATATGAAAATGATACCAAAAAATCCAAGTTTATTGAATAATGATTATTTTATATCACACCCATAAGTTACATATATATAATATCATATATATATTTTTTTGTTAGCTGGCTTAACCTTATGAATTATAAAATATTATTGCTTGTAGTCTCTATTAAGCGTTGTATCAAGTAATGTACTAAGAATACATCGTACATTAAATTGTAACCAAAAATATCAAGTTTTTATACTAAATATAAATTTATCAATTTGAACTGTATTATTTTTCTCTATGTAAACTATACTCACAATAATTCTGCAACCCGAATTATATTAATTCATTTTAAAAGAATAGGCTTAGACTTACTGTATAACAGCAATAAGTTATAAAAATTATATTTATTTAATGTTAAATTTGTCTTTATCTCTATGCATTTAAAAAATTCTTTCCTAAAATCACGTTATAACATGGCTTTTTACACAAATCAAAATTTTGAAATTGAACCTTTAAGTCATGGAGAACAAATTATCGATTTATCTTCATCTGATAATATTTCTCAATCTATAGAACAAGAAAAAAATCTCTCATATAATACTTTTCTATATACATTTGCTCTGTCAATATATTCTCTGTGGTCTATATCATACAATATGCAGGAA